CTTCTGCTAGACTGATGAAAAAGAAACTTTTCATGTTTAATNACTTTTTCTGCCAATCGCTATCAAGGTTAAACTTATACCAAAGGGAACAGATGGATTTTAACAGCTTCATCGTCCTTTTCTCTCAAATTTTAGGTTTGTTGTAGTTGTGTTGGTGTTTTGTTCTTCCTGTTCTTGATCTTTATGATGCCGTTATAAAGTTGACTCAGCTTCAATGTGTCTGTGCGTTGATTGACAGTGTTGTTCGCTTTAATGTGTAACATTTCCAAAACATTTAATTGTGATCTTTGATTAGCAACATCTAAAATTTCAACAGCATCAAAATCAAACTTATGATTAGTTTCTGACACATGTTTGACCAATGCCGATTTGCTGATTGCTTCATTTAACAACCCTGGTGCACTCTTCGGGTCCAAGAGAAGTTTTTTAAGTCTGTTGACATCAGTTTTATGTTGTGATAATCGTTTGTGCAACATTTGTATTGTTTGTCCAATATAGCAACATCCACATTCACAAGGAATCTTATAAATTAAATTTTTCAAATCTAATTTATTTTTCTTGTCTTTCAGTCTTGTGAAAAAGTTTTTAACTTTATTTTGCGGTTTGAATGCAAGTTGGACGTCTTCAGTCTTGCTTCTGATGAGTTTGGAAATTCTTTCAGAAATATTAGGCACATAAGTCATGCTGCAGAATTTTTTGTTAGTATTGGTAGGTGTTTGACGCATTATTTGAGTGTTGTGGTTACTGTTGATCATTCTGTTGATTACATTCGAAGGGAAATTATTCTCTCTCATTAATTTGCGATAAACCGGAACAAATTGTCTATTGCTAGAAAAATATTCCATTCTTCTCAATAGGCCTATGGCAACGTTGACTTTCATCTTCATCGGATGTTGAGAATCAAAATTGAGTATTCTGCCACTTGCAATTGGTTTCATGTAAAATTCTGTGCTCAAATTGTTTCCATCTCTCTCGATTATTAAATCCAAGAAAGGAAGTTTCATATTTTCTTCTCTTTCTGTCGTGAATTGAATGTTCTGATTAAAATTGTTGAAGGAATTGACAAGTTCATCTACTTTTCTATCAGGTAAAATGAACAAACAATCATCAACATATTTTGTTCCAAGAGTAAGAGTGAACGAAAGATTGGGAATGACAGAGTCGAAGATGTAATTCATGACCAAGTCTGCAATTGCTGGGCTTATTGGGGCTCCCATTGGTGTACCGAAGATCTGCCAATACACTTGATTGTTGAAAGTGAAATAGCTTTTTGTTATTAGGAATCTAAGTAATTCAATAAATTCCTCTTCTTTCAATTTAGTATTTTTGTCGATGAATCTCCAAAAATATTTTCATGTTTATGTTTAAAATCTAATCTACGTTAAAGTAAAATTTCCTAATTAAAAAATTAAAGCAAAAAAAAAATTTCAGTTTAGATAAAAAATTTTATATATCTGCTTAGCCTTCTTTTTATCAAAAACTCATTAAATCCGTTAATTTTCGATCACTTTGATAATTGCTGACAATGAGGTAACAATTACTGCTAGGTGGTAAAAAAAATGTAAGAAATATATCGTTTGTGTGAGATCAAATGCAGTGATTTTTATGTCGTAAATCTTGCACTATTGAAATTGAATAAAGGAAGTTTTATTGCTTGTGTTGAGCTTTTCATTGGATCTGATAAAATTATTTATGAGTGAACCAAAAAGGTCCATTAGTCATCCATGTTTAATAAAGAGGTTTCGATAATATCAATAAATATGAGCATCGATTTCATGTTAGCTTTACAACATGTTGCAGATATCTGTAATACAAATTCACAATTTCATTGCAGTTGATAGTAAAAATCTGCAGAAAATAAATTTTCACTGTTGTGTGGTTGGAGTCAAGGGAAAAGAAGAATTCTATTGTCACATAAAACAATAATCAGACCAAAACGCAAACTACATTCAACGCAAAAAGCGACAAGAATATCGCGCAAAAATAAAGAACAGACGAATGGGAAACAGTCATGAAATGTACTACGAAGAAAATCAATAAAAGACTAAAAATAATTCTTTATATTTATTTATTCTTGAGTTTCTCAATTTCATGTATCAAAGATATAAATATAGACAGAAGATGTTGGGAAAACTCTCTTCAATACGTAAAAGCAATTTGAGTCACTGGAGGTGGTTGAAGTTTCAGGATAATTATAAAATTTATCAGGTTTTCTCCACCAATATTTTATAAAAAGAACATCACCAGAAGGCATCACTGAATATCAAATATGTATAAATGAAGTTCCAATACGACGATTCCATCTCCAAAAAAATCTGGTTAGTCAAATTTAATTGCGAAACGTTTTAGTGAAAATAACATCAACGAACCTTTAGTGGGCGTTATAAAAATATCTTCATCCCACCCGAACAAAATAAAAATTCCTTTGTGCGACGAACGAAAGAGAATTTGTTATCATAAAACAATTTTTAAATGCTCAACTGGCGCTAATAAAAATTCCGCTTTGTAACAGAACAGTGTGAATCATCGCAGGCTTCAACATTATTTCGCTTAAATATGAAATTAAATAAAATGCTTGATTAAACAAAGTCTCCTTATTCTCCCCTTGTTGCTGTCTGAATATTCACAAATTCACAGATTTGTTTCAAATTATTTCTGTACACAGAATCTTCTGGAACCTTTTTTTGTAAATATTATTGCTTTTGAAAGCCCGGATGAATGAGAATGAGAAAAAGGAGAAAAATTCAGAGTGAAAGTTATTTTTGAAAGCAATCGGATGTTTGAAAATGACATCGTTATGTTAACTGACGTAAGTTTAATTAAATGTGACTACCGTTCTCATAAATTAAATTATCTCAACAGTTTAAAATCTTCATTAAAGTGGAATAAAGAAAAATCAAACAGCATGTTTCCGTTTTCTAATTTATAAACAAGATTAAGTTCAGCTTGGAGACATGAAAATGATTGAAATGTTGCCTGTTGTAGTTTTTAAGTTATTTTATATTTTAATCTCGTGCGTTTAAGCTTCCATCACCTAATTTCTCTTTCTGCTTGAAGTTTATCCGAAGCAAGGATTATTATTTGCCACCTAAGGCGAGAAAAGAAATTCTCAACAGGGCTCCTCGCTATTTTATATCTTTCTTTCTTTCTCTCTTGCTGTTAATGCGAAACCTGACATATTTCGTTTTTCAACAGTACCGTGATGTTTTAAATGAAAGTGAGCTTTGTAAGTTGTGATGGTGAAGTGTTTTCTTTTATCCTTCTTTTGTATGTTAGGAGAAGAAATAAATATTCAAAATGTTCGAGAAGAGAATAACGATGTGCACAAGCTTTAAGAATGAAAAGCCAGAAGAAACGAAAGAAAAGCTTTTCCTTTCATTCTTTTGTTAGATTTCTTTAGTTTTCCGCCCGCCTTCAAATGAATGAACATTTTTAATGATTTCAAATTGCATATACAAAACGTGTTTTCATTTGCGGTCTAATGAGAGCACAGGAATATCAAAAAACGTCTTAAAGTTTTCATTTCTATGTCGATCCCAATTCTCATCAAGGAAAGTAGCTTTTTTCTTTCATTTCTGCCCCATTTTCTGAGTAGATGATGAAATAAATTTAATATTTAAGATGCAGAAACTTCGAGAAAATTCTTCTTATGGAATACGAAGATGATTTTGATTCGAATATTCAATGTCATTAGGAGAAATGAAGTACGAGATGAGATATCAAAAAGGTAAATCAATAAATGAATAATTCAAGCAATGACACACGACACGCTTGTTATATTGATTTATGTTTAATTTATCATTCAATAAGTTCAAATGCCATGAGAACTATGAGATCAAATCATAGTTAATCCCAAAATAATCCATGAGGTTTAACATCTTAATCCAAATACCCTCAAAATGTTTATGTTAAATAGGATATGGAAATATGCTCGAAGCTTTAAGCATACAAGCCCCTAAAAATCTTTTGTACTTTAACAGAATTTCATGATTCGTATTCGAAACTTTCAATTCTTTTATACTTTTTCAATGTTGTTAACTTTCATACCTTGATTGCTTTCACTTTTGTAAGTTTTTCTCGAGATATTTTGTGTTGAATTTATTTTAAAAGTCATGCAAAATTATTTTCCTTCACGTTCCCTCTCAATTTTACATAAAGTATAAAGTTTTTTTTTCTCGACTCACCTCCGCTTCCTTTATCTTTCTTTTCCAGAAGTCCTTTAACACGCTTTAAAAGCTTTCCGCAAACACAAATTGTCGAGTTTGATTCACTTTTCTCTTTTTCGCGGCTCGTTCGACGTGAGCTCTTTATTGTGACGTTCTTCGTTGTTGTTTCAATGGTGGCTGCTGTTATGGTTGTAACAGCTGTTAGATCTGTTTTACTACTTCGACTGCTTATACACTTTCTTATATCTTTACTATCACTTGGCGTTGGTACATTTATGCTACTACGTTGATTATCATTTTTATTGATGACGATTTGAATTTCATTCACAACCTCAATTTGTGGGATGCCAGAACGTTTCTTCTGTTGAGTCAATATTTGGCCCACGTCTGACGATATTTCATTTGGATTGTACATTCTCGTTGAAGATTCAGACATTTTCTTTCGTTCCTTTAATTTGTCTAAAATATTTTTCATGGGAGAAGATGGAAGTTAAAGGCAAAATGAAAAAAACTTAATTACGACAATGAGTCTAAAATATGAAAAATGGGTTTCCATGGAGAACGCAAAATCTCTAAAATGCTGAAACCGTATACAATTTCGTTAAAGCATCATGTTCATGTATTTTGTTTTTATTTTTTTCTCTCTGTTAAGCCACAGCTTTTCTCCACTAATTCGAACTGAGGAAAAGGAAGAATGGAAAAAAATTAATCACTCAGCCGAGGAATTACGCGGAAAAGCAGAAGGAAAATATTTTTTCTGTGAAATGACAGAGAATAAAAATTCCAATGTTCACTCTTATGTTCTACACAAAAGGAATTCTTTTTTCTTTGCATTTAACAGATGAGTAAGTTACTGCTTTATCTATTCAACATGTTCGAACACGGAAATAGATTCACGAGGAAATGAACGTTTAACACAAAAAAGGCATCAATCTCATGCCCTCAAGTCACCACCTTCGTTCAGTTATTTTCAATTTATGCAGAAACAATCACAAACAATCATTGGAAGTCTGCTGTTAAAAAAAATTCCAATTAACTTTTTTTATTTGATTGATATCAACTACTGAGGATTGAAATAGAAAGAATTCTGAGAGTTGAATGATTGCGAGAACCGAAAAGGAAACAATGAAATCGTTTTAATGACTTCATTGTGAAATTGGAGTCTATAAAAAAGACTAGCAATCAATTTATAATCGAAGCTTTTAGAGAGATCAGCAAATAAAACAGAAAACGATTAAGGCATGCTTCGTTGATTGCATTGTTGTTTTTTATTTCGCAATCTTTCAATTTTTCTCATCAAAAAGTTACCAAAATCAGTTCATAAATACTCAGCATTATTCAAATTATAACATCGCAAGCTTCAAAAGTTCAAATATTTAGATCTGCCTACAGATTTCATATTGCCAACTCAGAAACCACTTCAGAATTTCCTCTGTTTCAAGACAAAATAGTTTCATTAATAATGTCCCTTTTCATGTTTTGACATTATTGAATCTGACTTTCAAAATTTACTCCAACAGTGAAATTATGTTTTTCTTCTTTAACAATCTTTTATTTAAAGATAAATTCAAATCAAAAATTTCAATCCAATTTCAATCTTCGACTCAAATATGCTTCAAGACAAACCAATTTAAAGATTTTGCTTTTGTTATTTGTTTAATCTCCTGACATATAAAAATAAAACGCCGCACGAATCTACAATGACTTGTATAGGGAAAGGAAAGACTTTTACTATAATTCAACTGCAATTGTAATCTTTCTCAATTGTTTGTTCGATCATTATTCTCTTGAGTTTATTTTGTATTTTAGCTCTACTCTCAATATCCACTTGATTGCTTCTACATAAAACTTTAGTCTCTGACTTTAGCAACACAAGTCATTCGTATACAAAGACGAAGATATGTTGACTAACGATTATCGACTGTTCAATAGCGTTGTGATTATTTATTCAGTGAAAACGCTGTTCAAATTGTCTTATCTTTTCTTCGTCACGTTTTGTTAAAATATAAAATGAAAAAGACATAAAAACATGTTAAAAGGAAATAAATTGCCACGTTACATTGGCCATCTAGTCCACTTATGTCATTGTGAGAAAACATGAATCAAAGTTCATTATCTTACAATTTGATGAAAACATTAAAAAGTGAAGCTGATAAGGTTGGGAACATCATTTGGGGTTTTTTAACATAAAATATCCCTTGGTTTATGGTTTTAAAAACATGGCGTACAACTTTTGTTCTTAATCATCAACTTGTGCCTTTTTTCTCGCCACCGTAGTCATTCTTGTGTGATTTGTTATCCACTCTTGTGATAAATGTCTAGTTTCGAACAAACGACGACTGTTAAATGTTTTAAGAACACTGAAGGTATAGTCATGTTTATCCTCAATGTTACGATAGTTTGTTAGATAAATTTCATCTTGTCTGCACTTTGGAAAGCCCGACAATGTGTGGTGGGAAAAATAGCATTCTTACATGTCTGTAATTTTCATTCCATTTGATGATATGAAATTACTCTCAAGAGATCGTTTCTCGTATTAATGTTAAGTTATTTGATGGTGAAAATCGCGGGCAATAAAAATTGATTTTCTTGTAATACATAAATTGAATTACATTCGCTTACTTAAGCCTAAGATAAATATTTGGATAAATAAAACATTTTTTTTGTCACATGACAGAACTGTTATGACAAATTTCATTTCGTTTCTTTTTATTTTCTTCCTCCTTTAGCCGTTGTTGTTCTATGACAAATGCTTCTGTCATTGAATGATAACAATTGAGTTACGTGAAATGAAGTTTGAAACTTTCACAATTCAATCAAATACAGTAAACAATTAGGGGGAATTATTGGAATCACTCGTCCAAAAAAATCAATCAAATTAAACCATTTCGATGCGTAAGATTCGTAGAGAAGGAAAAACTTGAATCATTTGGATCAATAAAGAAGCAATTGAATGAAATCTACCTACCAGTATCAATTTATAACTTTTCTAAGCCCAACCCCGAAGCGCTTCATGATTTTATTTTGAAAATAAAAAAGAAAGCAAATTTCTTCCCTCATCTCATTTCAAACGTTCTTAACCTCATTTAAATAAAAAGAAAAAGAAGGAAAACATAATAAGAAATGATACATGCGAAGGGAGTAAGGCAAACAGAGCACAAAATAACTTTTTCTTATGTTCATTTCATATGCTGACAAAAGTCGACATGTGTTTATGAGTAAAGTGTTATCATGTTATTTCAGACACACAATTTTACGAATCAACAATAAAAATGTATTTAAATGGACTACTTGGAGAATTCCGGAGACAAGAAAATTATAAGGAAGAAGAAGAGATCTAGCACATAATTTAATAATTAAGCCTGAGACTTGAGAGCTTTCTAGGGGTTTAGTTTCTTGAGTGATTCTCGTTCAGTGTTCCATTTTATTGACTTTTTCTTCCTAAATATTCAACAGTGTAATATTTAAATCGGTCCAAGCTTCAAAAAATATTAAAATAAAGTTTGCAAGTCATGCCATCATTTGAAATACGCAGGATATAAAAATTGGAGTAGCCTCAAGGCTTTTGGTTTCGAAAAATAAATTTGCCTGAATGAAGAATACTTAAATGAATTAAATGAACAAACAAAATTATTATCCGGCTGTGGAAATAATGAAGAGAGACCATTGGAAATACACGCGCTTAATTTTTTTTTCGCTTTCAGAAACTTTAATTTATGCGTTTAATTGTAGCGAAAATATAAAGCTTTTATTTTGGTTTTAGTTATACAGAAACGAGTAACGTAGTCTTGTTTTTGTGAGTAAGTAAGCTTGTGCTTTTAACTTATTTCGTTAAGCTTAATACTTGAATACTGATGAAACCTTTTCGGAGGATAATATACATGAGAATAATATCAAAGGAACTGCTTAATTCTTGATTTGACGCTCTCCATGAAATTTCCATTGAAAATGAATATTCAAAAAAATCCAAAGTTGAAATGAAGCGATGAAAAATAATTAAGTTACCCTTTCAAAAAACACACTGAGAAGAAGAATCAAGAAAAGACTCTCTAATGACGATTTTGTCAGTTAAAACTTCCCACTTGGCATTAGATAGAAAAAAAAGGTAAAATTCTTGTCTGTTATGGTCGCCTTAATCTCTATTTATCACTTTTCTTCTTTTATGTGAACCATAAACTTTTATCATTTAATTATGTTAATTTAATCGTTACAAACTCTCATATTAACTAAGAAACATTAGTTGATGAGTTTTTAACCAAAACCACTTTTCTTTTGTTGCTACAAACCGAAATATATTTTTTTCTTCATATTGCAAAATGAAAATATATTTTAACTAATCTATTTTCTTTACGCGTTTTGTATGTTTTCACTTCAGAATTTCAAGAAAACTACAATGAGGCCGATTACCACGATCCCATCTCTTTTTTTTGTTTATTTAAATCTTTTCAGACGTTTACACAGTGAATTCGTTTTTTGGGCCTTGTTTCTTTTTTCAATTTTTTTATTTAATATTTTCAAAATTGGCTTTGAATTCAAACAAATTTCTGAATAATTTCCCTCACTTTTTTATTAATGTTGATAGAACTTTCACTGAAACAGTTTCCGTTACAAACAGCTGAATAGTGAATAAATGTTCAAATTTTAAAACTAAAAATGTTCCAGAATTGTTTTAACTTTCAAATCTTAAATTATGTGAGCTCGAACTGCTTCCGATCAGCTGCCAAAAAATACTAAACAAGACTAAAATTTTATGTTTGCTCAGCCTCGGCAAAAGTATTAACGAAAATTAACATGCGATTTGCTTTCCTTGCGGAAGCTATCAACAGAGTCTTTTTACTGGGAACCAGAGTTTTTTTTTCCTGCGTTATTTGCAAAAAGCAGAAGAGAAAAAGAAAACTTCTGGAAATATTTTCTTCATTATTTACGCCACTGATAAGAAAATTGAGAGAGAATCGGAGAGGAAAATTCTTGAACAAAAAAAGCTTTCATAGGAATTTGTTAAAGATTCGAGCGTGGAAATTTAAGATGAAATTCTATTTTTAGATTCTACCAATGCAGACTATAAAAACACGAAAGAAAATTAATTTTTGCATGTTTTCTTAAAATATGGAAATGAAAAAGCTTTTTTGAAAGTTTTAATTAACTTTTTTCATTCATAATCACTGAAAGCTTGAAGTAAATTTGAATAAACTTTTTTTACGTTTTAAAAAGTTTTTCCCTCGCTTTTCCAATTTTCCAATAGCTCTCAACTTAACTCAATTTTCTAACTGAGTTGAGCAGATGATTAGTTTTCCAACGCTTCCAATTTGTAAGGGGAAATGGTTGCCTTGCCAACGAAAGCATCCTAAATATATATTTTTGATTTATGTACAAACATAGAACAGAATACTAGCAAGTGTGAAGGATTTATGAGAAGGAAGTTAAAATATATTGAGAGGAAATTATCACTCACAAATTTCCAAAATTTTTGAGGAAATTATTAAGCGAGACGCATTTTAAATTAGAAATAATGATAGCATTGTCGTCTTGCAATACTTTTAATTTTATGCCAACTTTTATGTCACTTTCAAATAATCTTTTATCGTCTTAAATTCGCATAATCAGTACACAAGCGCAAAATGATAAATATAATTCTAAATGAACGTTTGGACGTTTTAATGATCCCCAAAATAATTTCTTTTGAAAAGTTTTATTCTCTTCTGTCATTTTCTTTGATATTTTTTTTCGTGCCATCAAATTTTGTCCCATAAAAGGAAAGGTTGGATAAGAAAAGTTTGAATCTTTCGATAAATCTAAAGTGACTTTTTTTTATTTTATTGCAAGGTCACTAAGTTGGGATAACTCAACCCGAACGGGTTATATAAGGATTGATTAAGTTTGAAAAATCTCTTAAACGACATTATGATTGTTTTATATTTTTCTTAAAATCGTTTGATGGACAAAAATGTTATTGTAAACTCTGAAGAGCGAAATTTGATTACAATTAAAGTATCATTTACGATTTCATTGAACCAATGAATCAGTGAAGAAAACTTCGTAATCGACATTCCCTTTCTTCTTATTCTTACAACGTTTCCATCTCATGGTATGTGTGAATCTTTTTAAAATAGAATCGAACTGTGATATTGAGACTTCGTGACATCTCAGTTCAAAATTGTTTACTTCCTTCCGTCTTTCAGAAGATCAACAAAGTTTCACATAAGTTTCTATACCCACATTTTCTACGTGACATCACTTGATTTCTAATCCCATTTAAATTTAATTATCGCTCAATACATGTTCACTGAGATGAGTTTGAGATATTTTCTCGCCAACACGAAGCGGAAAAATCAAAATATGTATAAAGAAAACTCTCAAAATCAATGAAAAAAAATCTCTCACGACAACATGTCACTTCAAAGAGAAGATTTCTTTCCTCGAGATTTGTTCATGCATAAGCAAACTGTATAAATCGTTTTGGTTTTTAATTAAATTATTTTCCGTAGCAAAAGTCGTTATGAAGTGTTTATTGTTCAAACAAGGTTGACTTTCGATGCACTTCTCTTCAAATTATTAATAAAAATTTTTTTCAAGAGATTGAAAATCATTTTAAAGAAGCCACAAAATGTCAGATTCAAGTGAGTGTCCAATGTGAGTGAAGAAAAATGCGAATTTGAAGGCAGAGGAAATATTTTAATACTAGTGTTGAGATGAGAATAAGAGAATAATTATTTGATCAGTGCGTCGAAAAATAAGCAAATCAATTTCTAAACAGTTGTGAATTGATCTGATTATATAGCTGTCGAAGAATCTCTGCAGCACGTTCGAATTAAACAACTTTTGTGTTAAATTTAATAAATTGCACACTGAACTCTAATTGAATTGGAAAAGGTTTTTCGATAACGTGAAGTTTCCGCTTTGTTTATTGTTTATCTTAGTTTTGTGTTAACAAAATGAAAATCGTGTTCATATTTTTCTTGTAGTTCAGTTTGTTCAGCATAAATGCTGCAAATCGAGCTAGTTGGCATTGTGCCAAATGGTTAAATTAAATTACACTTGCCCTCCACCGATAAAGTTAACTTTTTGTATTTTTTTTTAATTCACAATTCCCTCGGAGTTTTTGTCTTTAAAACGCTGTCATAGTTTTGATATGTGTGAAACTAGTAAAGTTTTGTAAATAACGCGAGAAATAATAAATTTTTTGGTCATTTCACTTTCTCTTCTTTTGTAAACATAATGAAATTAAAATTGCAACAGTCATCGGCTCTACTCCAGTTGAATGAGACTTTTAAGGTTAATTACACTTGATGTCGAATATTTAAAAAATCAAAATTGATCAAGTGTTCTTCTAACGATCTTTGCTTGCATCTATTTACATTTAGCAAAGTAGAGGCGAAATAATTTAGAAAAGAAAACTCATGAAAGATTCACAAATTAAACATTTTCCGTCAAAGTCATAGTTAATGTTTCATATGATTTCTTGATAGATATCTAAATACATATTTTCTATGTGTTTATATTTCTTTTCTCTTTTTTCTCATCTCTGATCTCATGCGATGTTTTCAGCCTTCATCTCGTCAGACAAACAAGAATAAAAATTTCCGCTCGAATGAGAATGTTCAATAAATTTTTTATTCGCTTAATCATTCGTGTTTGTATGCTTAACAGAATTTGATCATCTGAATATAGAAATTTCGGCAACAGACGTTGATATACCATCAAAAGCGCCGAATACAAATCAACAGAAAAAGCAAAATTTCGGTTCCAGTTTGTTTCATTATTGTTTTAAGAAAGGTGGGTTTCTTGAGTCTGGTTTTGTTTTGATTAAAAAACAGATCGAGTTAATAATGTTTATTTTTATTCCCCATCTTAGTGTTCGAAAGTCTACTCGAACGACCAATGGCTCAACAAGAAGATATCTCATCATTCGAAGAATGTAAGTTATTAAACTTCCTTGTAAATATTTAAGACACGCGATAACATTGTAGGAAGAATTTTCTTAAGAAAAAATTCAGAAAAATCATTTTTGGCTCTTCTACAAACAGACATCCCAAGTGATGTTCTTCGCGCAAATAAGATTTTAAATTTTGTCTTTAAAACAAAGATTTAATTGTAATGAACAGTAGGCGTTCTGATATACTTAGACAATGGATGCGTTGTCGAGTTACTGATGTTTGATTTTGGTGTTTAATGCTTACGAGCTCATAGACGAGTAACAATGAAACGAAAGCAGAATGTGAACCTACACATATCCAAAAATAAATGGTTTGTGAATGCAGAGAAGCTCCATTATCTTCCACTTAATTTCGTTTATTATATCGCATTTTAATATAATACACAAAACTCACACCTGCTGACATCCCTGCCGCATAGTAATCGCGATTACTTTAATTTTTATTAGATGCTAAGGTCTTTTCCACACAATTCAATGATTATGGTATTTTCTTCCTGTTCAGAAAGCGAGCGAATTAAAATTTAATTAAAAACGGAATTTCACCGCAATATAAGTGTAAACGATGTCTACGATGATTTCACTTTTATTAAGATTTTCGTGTCTAATACGATGTTTTCCGATCAGATGTTCTCACAAAAAAAGTAATAAAAATTGAGAAGATGTTTTCGCCGTTTTCTGACTTTGAAATTTGTGAATTAATTATACAAAAATTTTGTGGTCTTCAAAAAGAAATGAAACTTCAATGATGGTACTCTCAAGATCGTTTATTTAAATTATCACTTAAAGCGTTGGAAGTTTAACACTATTAGATGTTAAGGCACAAAGATGAGTCTCATTCTTCAATTAAAATTTTCTTCTGTTTGCTTTTCGCCGCTAAAATTTAAATGAATGTTAAATAAATTGCTGTGGGGAACATTATCGAAACAAAAACATGAGAAAATGGGAAAACGAAAGCATCTCTGTATGTGTTTGTATGTTACGTTGTGCTACGTGTAGCATGAGTGTGACTTCTTTTCTTTCAAAATGTTTTGGTTGTAACATCTGATAAGAATTCGCATAGTAATGTTTGCTTTCTTTCCTCATTTTCGAAAGAAAGAAAAATAACACGACGAGAGAGGAAATACTTTCCAATTTTCATGACGTCATCGACTTCTCTCAAAAATTTTCTATCGAGAGAAAAGTTTTGGAAAATTCATGTGATGATGTGGGTGATGAGTGCTGCGAATTTTCTCAAACACCATCCATTTTTCACATCGCCATTGAAAGTTTTACGAGTCTATCACATGCTTTTCTTACAACTGAGCACTGGAAGTATAGCGGCTTCCACTCACCAATCATCGTTTATATCAAGACGAAATTACTGTCGCACCGTGCGAATATCAGTTTTCCATTCGTACAAAGCACGAGAAGTAAAAATGCGGAGCATCGAGAGGTTGTGAGTTTCTTGTCGTTGCGTTCAAAAGAATTTCTGTATTTCGTCTTTTCGAAATGCTCAATCAGTCTGATTAGAGTTCGCGAACGGATAAGGCTATAAACTTGAATCTTCGCTTTTTATTCGGCATGGTGATGTTTCATTAACAATTGTGAATAAAGTGCAGTTGAATTTCACATTTCCTAGCAATCACTCGAGTTAATCAAATCTCCCGTTTATGCTGGGAAACTTTCAAACGCGAACTAAATAAAAGAAGAAAGAAAAAGAAAATTTTTATTCATCAATAAAAGAAATCTCCAGCAAATTTTCCTTCAATATGTTTAATGAAATTTTGAGTTTTTCTCTATTTCGTTTGGTAACTATTGCGCTATAATTCGATTAGTAAATGCGATGTGCAATAAAGGAAGAAAGAAAAAAATCGCAGTCGATGGAATGGAAAGACATATTCACTTCAAAATTTAATTAAGTCTATAAATAATAGTGTTTTGTATCAACGATTAAATAGAGAGTGAAGCGTTGGTGAAACACCACCCACTCGCATTCGTGTTAGTGAAATGTGCTTGCTTTACACTTGAAAATTAATTATTACTTAATTAGTCTGCGATCTCAAATATATTTTCTTCTCGGCTCTCGTGCTCGTGGTTGTCATGAAGGAAAAAGAAAATTTACGTAGATATAAAATAAAATATATTTTCGTTTAGATTGAGAGATACACAAAAATAAAATGTGAAAATTGTGATAAATATTTCGAAAGAGCCAGGAAGAAACCAAGAAAAAAAAATACGAAGATATTTTGAGGAAGAGTTTTAAAATCGCTTTGTCGTGACATATGTTTCGTAATTTTCTTTTATGCTAAAACGTTCATGCATTAACCTTCGACAAACATGACAAAAATAAAAATATACATAAGTAGAGAAAGATGTTGAGAGAAAAAGATGCCGATTGACGAACGAGCTGTGAAAGAGTCAGTCAAATGCAAGCGACTGTTAAACTTCAATTTAGTGAAAGACTCAAAACGTGTAAATCTTGTTCATTCTTCCACACAATCATTTTGTGTTGTACTTTGTGCACATGTTGTTTCCTTCCGTACATCACAATGGCACTTTCGTGCTAAATGAGAGAGGAAAAAGGAAAATTAAAAGCTGTTCGGTGATAAAGTGTATTAATACTAATTACAGTGTAAAGAGAAGAAGGAAATCGTTGCAAAAATGTAAAAAGGCTATGAAAATTATCAGCCGTTAGCAGTTAAAAATGCATAAAATCAAGCATAAAGTAATTGAAAATATCCCTTGTTCGACTCTCCTGTTGAATATTAAATTCAACAAATCAGTTAAAAGCTGTTCGTATCGGTTGGTGCAAGACAGCCCCAAGCTAATGAGTCTTCTCTTTAAGTTTGAGTGGTTTTGGTTGGATGATATTGCAATTTCAATTTATTCGTATTCCCTAATGGCTGATCATACCACACAATAATAAAAATATGCGATTAAATTCTTTCTGTTGAAATGTTGGAAACAAAGTCTTTGAATTGAGATGCTTTCATCTCGATTATGACATGATAAAATGATATAAAAACTTTTTAAAGGCTGCTTCAAATTTTCGTAATGACCTTTGAAGGCGAACGATAGTCGGGCTTAAATATTTTATGTTACATTAGTTACTAACAAAAAAGGCTATGTATAAAAGTTAATTTAGTGTCTAAATGTTCTGTGAACTGTGGTAATATTCAAATATGAAATTTATAAACATTTTTTTTCCATTTTTCATCATTCCAACCGCTCTTAGGAAATCATCAGAATTTATTCTGGAGTCATGCTGTTAATGATACTTTATTGAAAAAAAAGAACAAGAAAAAAATCTGTATAAATGAACGAGACCGTGTAGAATATTTGTATTAAAACAATAACGAGTACTGTTTGATAATTTAGATAGACATGACATTGAAATTTAAATAATGAGGAAAATTACTTGAAAATTTCAAACTTATGAGGAATTTGTTGTATCTTCTAACAGAATCAAAGTCAAATTGGCTAATTTCAATTGAAGCGACATAATTTTGATAAAGTAGATGAAATTCCTAAAGTTGAATGCGGAAACAATTTGTATTTCAAAGCGAAAGCTTCAGAATAGAAGAATTCGGAATTGCTTGTTTCATTGTAACTTATAAAGGGAATTGATGTTTTTTCTGTCATTCTTCTTGAGGCTACGAATGCCATAAAGAATCAAATAAAAGAAACAGACTCGTCTTCTTCTTGCTCTTGAAAATTTATATAGTAATCCACACAGCTTCTCATTGTCTATGAAAAATTCTAATATTCTTCTTTCTCATTTCGCAAAAATGTTTTCTTTGTGATATTTACCGACTGTATGGGTGGCATTTTCCATCGTCAATTTATTTTTTTTATATTTACACATGAAACACTCGATCCTAAAGATGTTCACATTTCAAATCGCTCCTAGCAAGAATAAGAATGAAGGGATGACTTCGAAGTCACAGGAAGTGAATTTTATTTTTTTATTACACGGAGAATATTTCTACGGTGGATGTAAGTAAATAAAAATATGGAAAATTATCTGACGAGAAGGAAATTCAAAAGAGGGTTTCATGTTGAACATTCTTTCTTTTTTTTATCTTCATTCAAGCCATCCATGACTCCGGTGTTAATAAAATCAAAAGTCTGCATAATTAAATTTTAGGTTGACTTGCATGACAAAAGAAAAATGTCTCAGAGATAGCAGAAAATTTTCATTTCGCCATCCGACAGTTACAAAAAAAGAAAATATTACAAAGGTCAATTCATTTTTTCGATGAAAAGATAAGCGGAAAAATCTTTTGGAAAGGATGCGTTGAAGAAAAGAAAATAATTCGCGTCAACGCTCAGCTTGAATGAGACAAGACACGATGAAAAATAATCTTTTCATAAAGTTGCTTGAAGTTTAAAGATAAATCCTCGCTTCTTATTTTCCCCTTTTTCCATGAAGAGCTCCGTGAGAAAAACACTTGAGGAAAGCATACAGAGACAAAAATCCCTGGGATACATACACGAAATGAAATGGAAGTCGAAAGTTATTGGTTCAACTTGAGTTGAGTAGGAAAATAAATAATTCTCAAACAGAAGGAGAAACTTAAAAGAAAGAAGAAGAAAATTTTATTTGAATGCGAAAATGACTAAGTTAATAAATAATAGCTTTTGACTTCATGATCAATCATGATCTGAAACCTTTGATATGTCTGATTCCATTCCCAGTATCACTTGCTATGTTGTTGTAACCGTCTTGGAAATCCAATAAAATGAAACAAATCAAAAATCTATCGGATGAACTTCTCAACCTTTAGAAAATCCATTTTAAGTTAAGATTTTTCTTTAATCTTAAGTGTAACGTTTAGGAAAGTCATTGTAAAAATGTCTCTGATCATTGATCTTTCGTTTTTCAACCATACAGACATCAAAAGAAATAGAAAACATTTATCTCAATCGGTAATCTCTTATAAAAACGGTCGTCTAAATTTCTTTTGTTTCTCTTCTGTAACTTTGTGTTATTTAAAGCTGAGCTTCCATAAAGGGCTGCTAAACTATTTTATATTGCGTTATCTTTATTTGATTTCTCTTTGTTTTTTCACATGTCTATGATTTTGCTTAAAAGATTTTTTTTTTCGACGATTTATAGCTTTAAAAACTTTTAATGTGTGCGGAAAGTTTTTCTTTTACATCTGACGCATAATATTAAGATTGAGATTCATCTTTAAAGTTCTTCCTTCCCTCTGTGACAAAATTCTTGGGGTGGAAAAAGACTTTCCTACAGACGTGATGTGAGAAAGAAAATTTAACGATTGGATGGAAAAGGCGAAAATGTGTAAAAATTGATAAAAAGCGCCTTTGAATGAAATCTAATAAAACTTTTTCCTCAACAGTCTCTAAGAAAATATTTGCTAAACCATATTTTTCTAAATCACCCGCATTTCACTCTCCGTTCGTCTCGTTACAGATTTTCTGTTTTTTTCTTATTCTTAGACCAATGACAATGGCAATTCTTGTAACAATGTCATAATAGAGATAATGAAAGCAAATATACACATTTTGTTCTGTCATCATTTACTTAGGAAACTTTAAGATATTTGCTTTAAACCATCATTAACAATGTCTTACAGTAAGGCTGTGATCTACAAAAAGTTCCTTATTGTTGGATGTTACAAATGTCCAAAAACTGATGGAACAATTTTTTCATTCCATTTGTTTCGAGTCATTTTTCTTTTATTTGTGTGAAATGTTTGGGAGAATTTTTTTTGAGTTTCCAGACACGTCTGTAGGTATTTCAGTTAAGGAAGTCTTTTTATGTGATTTTCGAGTTATAGTTGGAATAAATTGTTTATCTTATAACATATCCTGCTTTTACAATTCAATTTACTGGATATGAGTGAAAAAATTCAATTCTGTGCCGGGTTTTCTTGAAATACATAAAACCATAATTTCAATCAATGTTTTTATTTAACAAGTCTCCAGCACAATATGAACTATTTCCTGTTTCGATAATAACTATTAATGAGAATAACTAAAGAAAGCTTAATTTTATACCATATCGAATGTTTAATATCATGAAAGGTCATCATCATCAGGATATTATAAATCTTAAAGCCCAAAACCAATCAAATAAGTAAATATACAAACACATGAGAACGGGATGACTAATGGCTACCTCTTCCTTAAGACTTTAATTTATGAACAAAATTTAATCGAACCTTTTCATAGCTCATCACATCCATCATATGAGTATTCTGTCTCATCATTTGCCTGAAGAAATTTAAACTAATTAAGATTAAAGGAAAATTCTCTATAAAACTGTATGCTGATGAATTACAAAAGCTGTAAACATACTTATTTTAAAATGCTTAGACAGATGTTTGTTTATCATATTCAGTACGGATTTTTGAGTCAGCTTAAGTTCTCAACATAAATCTATCCAAATTAAAAATTTATATACATCCCCTTCTGTTATTCTTTTGTACTATTTACTTCTGCTAGCGCAAGAGAAAGATGATTAATAATACATAATGGAAATATTAGCATAGGAGATTAAAAAAAATTAATTTATGCTCTGTTGATGTAAAACACTAAGCATGGAGGCAACCAACATATTTAAAGATTCTTGCATTGCAATAAATCTTTGTCAAATACCTTAACTACTCTCTAAGAATTACATTGGAATGTGGTCGCATTTGTTTGAGACAAGGTCATAATATTTAATCGAATAAAAGTGTAGTAATTTGTATGAAAATCAAAGCTAATGGTTGACTGAATTAAAAAATCGTGTGCGAATTTCTATGGAAAACACGGCAAAATAAACTTTTTCAGACCACCATCCATAAACCGTCAAAAGCGCGACTATAAACGAAAAACAACTTAAACAATATCAAAGAAAATAAGCGTGAATTAAGTCACCATGAACACATTGAAACACATTGTGACATTGCGTGCTAATGGGTCATTGGACTTGATTATCAACTGAATAAAAAAGGAATTTTGCTTCCTGAAACTGGTGTTTCTTAAGACTTTAACTCAATTTAATGAAATCATTTTGTAATTTTGAGTAATTTTATTTTTCTTTTCAAACCGAAACTGCAAACATAGTAAAAGTTTCAGATTTCATTACGAAAAGTTCTTTGAAAATATAAAGTCCCACAGCTCTAGAATTTTATTTTTACTTTTTTATTCGTTGTTTTTTATGATTTTTCAATTATGATTTTATTACCAATTTTGAGCATTTAAAAATTTATGAAGTAAACTTGCCTTATTACAGAAATTATGGATATAGTAAAAATTCTTTCCTTATATTTACCGATGTTGTAGCAATGAAAAGGCTTTTTCTTCATCGTTGTTTCGTTTTCGACACAAAAGTTTCGTGAAAGTTTGACTTATTACATTCAAAATTTTATGAAAATGTTAAACAACTTTTTGAAATATTTTTGGGGAAAAGTTAGGTGGATAAGAATTTACCCTAAATCTTAATCCACCCACGATGGGATTGGATTATTCTAATGCTGTTAATTAAATATTTAAGAACTCTGAATGCTCATGTTTTTATCAAAAGTTAGTAATGGTAAACAATTTCCTTCATTTTGTTTGTAATTAAAAGAATTTTCTTTCTTCTGTTTGTTTAGAGAAATGAAATTCTCATAAAGTAGCGAAAGTTTTCTTAAAAAGCATGAATATTCGAAAGCTTTTTTCTCCTGAAATATGCTTTCAGTTAAAAATTTATATGAAAAATGTACAAATAATACAATAACTTAGTTAACTATTCTTCTCCAGATAAAATTCTTATGAATGAATTTCGATCTTTTGAATTAATCAGCCAAACATTGAAGTTCACAGTTTCTTTGACGATTTATAAATTAGCTCATAAATATGCCAAAGTTTGAATTCATTTAATTAAAACTCTTTCACCGTTTTCAATCAAGGATTTAATTTTATTCGTGCAATTCAAGAAGTCTTTAATTTTAACGGCCGTACCTAGAAGTTGAAACTAAAAGTTAACTTTTTATGACCAACCACCACTCAAAACTTTAAGAGAAGCCGATTAAAACAGAATCTTTCAAAATTAGTTATAACTTATGTTTAACATCGAGAGCTTTTAATTGAATACTTAAATAAAACTGGTTACGAGTGAAAAATTCGAAACTAATTAATTCATAAATGTTTCAGTTTATGTCGAAGTTTTCCCGAGTCAACCGTATAACATTTAATTAATTTATTCAGAATTAAGTCATCTCAATTCTTGCCAACAGAGGAAATTAATTCCAAAAGAATACTTAAAGCTCAAACGAATATGAAGAAAAATCATAAAAAATCTCCTCTGAGCTGAAACGACAAAACGAAGGAATAGAAATTTACAACATTTAATGGGATGTGATATAGAAAGAAAAATAAATTTAGATTTTTGGTGTTAAAGCTTGAATTAAGTAATACATATTAATGTTTGCTGTTGGAAAAGAGTGAAAAAAATATATCTCCGAACGATTTTTCACTCAATAAACTCAGCTGAAACTAGAATAAATTAGTCAAGAGAGAAAACTGCGCCATTCCATAAGCGTAAAACATTGCCTGCGATACATCAGATCGCTACAATTTAAACTTTTATACCCTCTGCCAAAATATCAATAAATTATGGGTCACGTTAAACAGAAGAAGTCGAGAAGCAGAAGCTCTTCGACACCATCAGAGCAAGTGGGAATTGAGTTGGTGAATGCCAAAGAAACATTTCCACGATCAAGCGAAAGGCCACCAAAATCAGCATATCCAGAACAGCTCAATGTGGGAGAACTGATAAGCCAAATTAATTGCCGCACTAGTTCTAATGAGATAAGAAATGATAGTAATAATAACAGCAATAGAAATAATAACACAACACATCAAACTAACCGCCAAATTTGTCAATCGGAAAGTGAAATCATTGATGATGTTGAAAAGGGCCCATCAATGCGTCACCATCGACAAAAACCACTTTATCGGCGTCTCATTGCATTTGTAAGAAATCTTTGGATTGGTGCTAAATTCAACGTTGGAAGCGATGGTAAGAAACTTCTTACTTTTTACTTTTCAAATTAAATTTCTTGTCGAATCAAACTTTCTACGGTATTTGATGAATCAAAATTGTTTTTCTGAATTGATTGTTACAACAAAATAAAAAAAAGAGTTAATTCAACAAAATTATTAGCACAATAAATATTTATTACTCATCATTATGAACACGTAATTGAGCTTTCCTGATAACTAAGCAAAAGATTATTAAGACTTTTATTATCTCTTCTATCATATTTCAATAACTTGTTTTTCTGCAAGCTACGGAAGTATGCGGAGAATTGTTTACATGATAATTCAACCCGATTTTTATAGCCTTCTGCACAAGGTTCACCAATTTCATAAACTTTATCATCGTTATGATTGGCTTATCCAGTTTTGAAAGGTTTATGAAGCTAATTTACATTGTTTTCATTATGTTTTCCTCAATGCAAAATATGAAGTGTCAGAGTGATGAATTCATAACTTATTTTAATGAAAATTGGGAATATTGTATAGAAAATACTGCTGCTTGATTTATGAATTTATCTTAGCTGGTGTTCTATGACGTTTTTCGAGAAAAACATAATATTTTCATTCACCACATAAATAAGCATATTTATTGTTTTTTCTCTATCCATTAAATTTAGAGGTGTTAACATATTAATCTACTAATCTTCATGAATTTATTAGTCAAAATATTTACAAGACGAGTCAAATGTTTTAAATCTTCATCACATTCATTATAAGAAATGATTGTTGATATCATTTTGCTACAGAATCAATCTTATTTACAACTTTCACATCAACTTAGTCGATAAAACAAAAGTAACATTTTATTAATGTGGAAGTATTGCGACGAAAATTGTAATTTCCAAATAGAATTCAGCCTCCATTACGACAGAACTGTTGTCTAATGAAAGATACTTTATGGAGTTGTTTTTATGTGTCGGAAATAAGTGGAAATGGATGATTAGAGATAAAATGCCATTCAGTCTCTTATTTTTACCACTTGCGTAGACCTCTTTCTATCTTATAAGAATCGAACATTCAGAAAGTAGATAGTAAAACCATAAATTAATGACTACATCCTGCATGTAGACCGACGTGGCGAGTTGGGATGAAAATTTCCTCTAGGCTCATTAATATGAATTCAATTGATGGTATTAATGAACTGAGAAACCGAAAAGGGCGGAAGAAAAATCAATTAGATATGTTATGCAACATGACATTAATGATAGGTGGAAAATCTTTTCGAATTCTAATTTGGAGTAATGTGCTAATTGCAATATAGTAAAAGATGTAAATATCTTATTTTCATCAGTGACACATGCGCTGGACGATTCTGCTGATATGTAAGAATTTAATTATTCAATGTCACCATAAATAAAATCATATTTGATTTGTTATGGTTTTTCAAAGAAAGAGAAAAGAATTTTTTTAAAATAATCGAGACCTGAATTCTCTTTTGTTGCATATTTATAAATTAAGTTGATTTACATGCAGATAAGTGATGAAGAGCTGAAAGCTCAAATTATAAGCATTTGCATGACGTGGAAATGTATTACATTGGAATATAAATTTCCGGAGGTTTTACTTCTCATCATATTTTGCTATGGTTGCCCATTGCAAAAGCTTTTGACATGCAAAATTCGTAATAAAACTTCTTTTGCATTTCGATCGGAAATGTTCATACATTAGTTCCAACTTAATGTGGTTGGTCCAAATTACAGTGTGAAATGTGCAATTCAATATCCACCCAGAATAAACAAAATGTTGCATTATCTCCTATAGCGACAATGAATCCAACCTTCCACGAGTCTGTTGTGAATGAAAAGCTGTAAATATCTGAATGGATTTAGTTTTTCACTTGTGAAAGTTTTTCCAAACATTTTCGGATGCTAAAATTAATATGAAATGCTTCAGTAACCTTCAGACATGGACACGAGAACTGCTAAACGATACTAAGGAAATATTCGAAATTATATTTTTAAGTGTGCATTTCGATTTGCCTGTTTGATTTAAGTATTAATTTTATGTATTCGGAAATTTATGTTAATGTTCTGTTATTTATTGATAAAGGAGAAGAACATAAAATAACATTCTTGCTAATGTATGATTTCAATGAAACATAAATGTAACATTTTACGATGTTTCGTCGTTTTTAAATTACTCAATCTTTAATATGAATTGCTTTATGTAAATATCCGATTTAATTTTGTGATGCCAGGATATTGAATTCATAAGAATGTTGCAGTAAACGTTTAGATTCTTATTATGTACATTCGTAATTTAAAAACTCATAAATATTTGAGAATTTTAAACTTTTTTTAATAATTTAATGAGAGTTGAAATTGATTTAAGGATTTTCCAGTAAATTACAAAATGAATGAACGTTTGGTGCCTTTTTCAAAAGTTCCTATGTGTGGGTGGGTTTTATAAATTACCAAATTCCCTTCGAAAGTTTATTTTAAGCTTCGAAGCAAATGAAATCGTTTGAAGATGTTTCTGCTTGAACAAATTCGACATGTGAAATGGAATTTTTCATGAAGTGCACTTTAAGTTGTACTCAACGACATGTATGTTGTACGGCAGAAAAAAAAATCACTGGTGAAAGAAAAACATTAAATGAGAGCTTTTCTTTTTGTTATTCTATGATGAAAGCTAATGTAAACTTTGACTTCGTTTTTCCAGCTGCTAGAGCTGTGAAAATATTTTCTTTCAATGCACGAAATTGACTTACTTATGAAAGAAACAAAATGTACAAAAGCTTCTATTTTTGTTATGCCAATGCAATAACATCTTTAATCACTTATGAGTCATAATTTTAGTACCATTAGCAAACCTTAAGATTATTTGATTACGATTTCATAACGAATCTAGGTTTCATCCTAATGGCTACCAAGCTACTTAAGTAAGATGTACGTAAGCTATTTCAATACCAATATATTTACTAATTTGTGAAGTAATGCCAAATTGCAGATAAATAATTTAATATATTTGCATAATATTTTCACAGCCTTGGTGAAAGCTCAGCCAAAAGGTTTTATCGATCGATATTTATTGTTGAAATAAAAAAAAGTCAGTGTTACTTTAGGCAAAGCTAAATTCTAAAAATACATCACATTTTGTAAACATTTATGAATCCATTAACTATAAGTGATCCCGAAATTAGACCAACCATCAATACATCAACACGTGATAAAAATCATATTTGTGGTTCTGGCATTTGCTCATTTGCTTGCTTCTACGCAATCTATCGATAAATTATCAGAAAAAATACACAAAATTTATTGGTGGATTGAAAAAGAAAAGATGAGAAATAAAAAGTAATTTGTTAAATGAAATTTTCGCTATGAACAGAAGCTCAGTGTAATAAAGAAGAATTTAAATCATTATGATGATTTCAAAGAAAACCGTAAACGCCCTCGAAATCAAATCCGATAAAAGGGATGAACATTATCATCGATTTTCTTTCTTTTACATATAAGTTTCATTGATTTCTTTGTTCTTTATGGGACGTAACCAACAGACAAATGTTGAATATTAAGCTGAACAAATTGTAAGCAGTAAAAAAACGATATTTTGTTGAAGAGTCTCAACTTGTTCTAAGTAGAATTCTCTCTACTCGTTTTTCAAACATGTAAAGGTATATTTTTCGAATACGAGTGTTCTCTCAAGCGAGAATTTATTTGTCATTGTCATCATAAGCCCGTAAACACTTGTTCGCCTGCATTCGTAAATAAAAATATAGAATAAGAAAAATCACCTTTAGCGTCTTTCACACGCATCATGAAAAAGCTTGTGACAATCACAGAATAACATTTGACGATCCTTAAGCCTTATACTGACAATAAAATATTCCCTTGCTTGTTGTGCTTTTTTTTTGCTTTCTTCTTCCTTCTTCTATAAATGTAGAATGAAGAATCAACTACATCTGGATTTTACTTCACGTCTTACGCAAATGGCAATCTGGATGTTTACTCGTATGAAATACATTCAAACTCTCATCAATTGATCAAATGATCTCTCATTTTGAATTTGCCCTAAAGGGCATTCTCATAAATGTAAGGGAAGGAAAGGATTAAGATTATCCGATCAATCATTAGCATTGTGTGACACTTACGACTTAATGCATTGGAGTTCCTTATGAAAACTTTATGAAAGTCAACCTTCTAATATTTGTTTTGGCCCATGCCTGTTCATGTCACAGGAATTAAATTCAGTTAAGATTCTCAAGATGAAGAAGACAAATTATAAATCCACAAAGCAGATTTTCTGAGACCTTTTTTTAGTCTGATTCATTACATAACTTAAGAAGAAATTTAATCCTTCTTTACCTTTTGGTTATGTACGAAGGTCATCAATTGTAAACATGAAGAAACCAACAATGTCTAGAAGGTTTTGATAAATTTACTGAAATAAAATTTTCCGACCGCAACAGCTATCGCGGAAAGTTTTCAAAGTTAGCAACTTTTGGTGAGAAATACAAAAAAGAAATTAATAAGTGGGTGGCATGACTAAGTAACATAAAAATTCATTCGAAATAAATAGGATTGAGTAATAAAAGAAAACGTGAAAAATTTATACAACTTTTCATCTTTTACCATCACATCTTAGGTTTCGTTCTATTATTATGCGTCATTGAGTCATTCTTTAAACGAACCCAATTCGATTCGGTTTGATTGAATTTTCAATCAATATAAAAAGATAAAAGCGTTCAGTCAAATCAATCTTTTCACCTTCGAAAGACATAAATAATGGAATGCAAATGAAAGCGAAAGCTGAAAAATGAGAAGCCGCAATCAATTAAATATTTACAAACCATGCCGAAAAGTACAGAAAAAAGAAATGAATTCATAGCTCTAATTTTGAGAGAAGTTGAGTAAATAATAGAATGCCTTGGGCGTTAATAATTGAAGTTCTCAGAAACTTTCAATATAAGTAAATTATATCTCTGGCATTGTTTAAATGTGTCCGAAAAGATTTTCTCAAACCATAATAATCTATCTAAAATTTTATGTTTTTAGATTACTGCTTTTAGCTTCTTCATGAAGCTTCATTAAAATTCACAAAGTTTTTGTGGCATCACTAACAGATATCTGAGAGAATTTTATAATTAAATTTACTAAAACTTTTCCATGCATAGAAGGCAACGTGACTGAAAAATGCAACTGTGATTAGATATTTGTTCTAATTTAATCGTGGAATTTGTAAATTTAATTTATAAAGTTTAAGTGGAAAGTTCTGAAATGGGAGAAAGTTACACATGAGAAAAATTCCTTATTCAAGATAGTAACATGATGCTTGCAATTCCCTACAAATGCCAGAAAAGATGCTATGTATATAAAAATTTAATAGAGGTTAACTCAGTTTAATGTTGTTAAAGACAAACCCTATGCAAATTTCTACCATCATGTTGGAGTAAATACCAACGTCAGGAAGTATAACAATAAATTCTAAACATTATATGGGCTTGGCCATCCCGAAAAGGACTTAAAAAAAGCAATTTAAATATGACGACACACGATGATCGTTTACGAGTCACAAACAAAATGGATCATTCGCTGTTAGGCACAACAAAATTCTGCAATAAAGTTTGAGTTTAATGCGAATTTAAATTTGATGTAACTTTACGAGATATGAGTGTGTAAGATGAACATCAAGAGTCCCAGCACATAAATTTATTTATTCATGTTCACCTCAGAGGCTTTTATCGACGTTCGTCATAACGATGAAGACCTAAGTGTCTGCTCGTGAACATATTTTAAAATAAAAGGTGAAAATAATTTCAGTTCAAACATGCACGTGGAGTGAAATACAGTACAGTAGTTTAATTTAATTAATGCATGATTATCCTCTTTAAAGGCTTTAAATTTACCACACCTTCATGAACATACAGAAAAAATGACAATTTTACGTGTACTTTAAACTCTTAAAAAAGAAATGCGTTGAAATGAATGTCTGAATTCAATTTATGATTTCAAGCGGTACAAATGCTGATGTTGAAAGCCTTTTTTTAATCTCGCCACTTCGACACTGTCCTAGCAGCTTTCATATGACGTGAAAAATGAAAAATTGAAGTGACACTGGAAACCATACATATTCATGTCACTCATCCATCTTTTACGACATATTAAATTGTTGACTTCCTTGTCGTCGTCGTCGCCGCTGTCGTCTTTTTGATGCATTCCTCTAACTGATATAGAACGATGCCGATGCATATCTGGTGTGTGTATGTGACAAAACATGAATTTCTACTTTTCATTTCACTCACTACCAAAATATGAAATATGTAATTGTTTATCTCATTTGTGGTCTTTTGCAGAATGCATCATAACTGAATGTTCCTTGTTCAACAACATGTTTCTCTTACTATGCTCCATTTTCGACTTGAGTGAAACTTTATGGTTGTCAAATGTTCTTGATTGCTTTTATGCTCCATTATAATTGATATAAAACCACATGACTAATTTACCAAATAGCAAAATGCAAATTCACAAAGTAAAGAAATAAAGTTTAATTGAATAATTTTATTTACATAAACATCCGGAATGAAATTGAATGAATTCCATTCACCAAAATATTTGTATTTTCTCATGGTTTTTCCTTTCTACTTTTCTTTTTATTCTGTTCAGTGTCGAATGATGTTTTCTGGTTGGATTCTAAAAATTTTCCGACCGCATGTGTTTATCTACGAGTTTTTTTTTGTACAAAAAATGAGAAGAAAATGAAACAAGAAAAGAAAAAGTTAAACAAATGTGAAAATTTCAATCAACGATCACATTCGCATCGAAGTTATTTCTTCTGCCACTCTCAAAAATTTGTTCAAGATATTTATTCATGAGCAAGAAAAATTTGAAAATGAAAAAATGAAATAAAACAAGAGACTCGTGTTATTTTTTTCTTTTTGTTAAATCCGCTCAGTATCTGTTTTGATATCGAATCGTGAAGGTCGCGTTTCAATGGTGAACAAAATCTTGCCGCGTTTTTCCGATCTTAGAAAAGCTTTCTAATTAACATTTTTTTTTTTGTATCATTTTCGATAATTGAGTTGGAAAACTTAAGTTTGGGAATTGTTTTCTTTTTGTTTTCCGTTGTTGTGCTCGAATCCCGAACAAAATCATATCACGAAGACGTCTTCTTTACATGAATTTCTATGGAGAAAAACTTTTTGAGTAAGAAAGAAACTTGATTAAATTGAGTTAATATTTTTTTGTTTAATTTTGTTCAGAGCTAATTGAAAGCGCAAACATTCGGTCGAGAGTAAGCTTAGGCGTAAAAGAAATTTTAAAACCGCACTGAGTCTATTAAAAAGAAAATTTTTGTGAACATTTTCAGTTCAGCGACGAAAGATCAACCAATTTTTAAGACAATTATTTAGAGTTTCTGCAATTTTCCCCCACAATTGTCAAGAAAATTTCCGGAATAAATCACTTCAAAGGAATTCAATGAAAGCTTACAAAAATATGTTTAGCTGCATAAATAAAAAACAGATTTTGATGACACTGACAATCCCACCTTCTTATTCTGGCATGATTAAACTAACGAAAGCTTTTGCTGCCATAAACCTGTGAAAGACGCATAACATCACTCACTTTCAGATTTCTTTTTATTCTAAAGAAATTTACAGTTTGCAAATATGAATCTCACGAAAGCAATTTTTCTTCTTCCAACTGTAATCGCTTCTCTTTTCTACAATTTTACTTAGATATATACAAATCTCATCTGGGGGAAAAACGAAGACGTGTGTTATAATATATTCAAGGCTGGTAAACAGAAAAGCTTTTGCGCTCGTCTAACTTGCAACAGCAAAAGAAAATATCTACATATGAAAATAACAACCTTTCATATCGCCTTCTTCTTCTTCTTTTGTTAAATTCTTTTTCCCACTTTCTCGTTCAGAGTGCATAAAATATATTTAACACCGCGTCTCTAGTATGTAGTGTGAAACAAATGAAAGCCATCGCTAAGATAACGACAGAAAAAATCTATTTTTGGGTGTATGATAATAATGCTATTTCCACATTAACATAATTTTATGTAATGATGATGCGAAAATGAGGCAAGCAAAAGTAAAAGAGTTTTTAAGACTTAATAAGAAGAAAATAAACTTGGCGAAGTTGTTTGTTGATTGTAAAAATAAACTCAGACATTGTAGGTGCGGAGAGCATAACAGGAATAGTGTGCGAGATGTGAAGGTCATGATGATAAATATTTACATGAAAATCCCAAACTTTTCCCATGAAAATTCATAGCATATTTTCACACATACTGTAGGAAAATATGTTTAAATAACTATTGACCAAGCACAAAACTTTCTTCATGAACAAGTTCTTGAAAAATCGTTACTCATTGTCAGCACTTATCAACACTAAATTAAAACTACTTTGAAAGATTTCAAATATAATTGGCAAGCTCAATGTTTCATTAATCGCAAAATAACAGTCGAAATGATCATCAGCAACTCTGTGTGGCATAATAAAACATTTCGTGTTATAACACGAAAAGCAGTAAATTTTATTGCTAAGTTTCTCACTCTCTGTAATAAACAGCAGAGAATAAATTTAATTATTTTTTCCTCAACTTTAATACTTGCTTTTCATCCACTCTTTAGTTTAATTTACCCTCGAGACCATTCAAATATTTTATGCTCCATATATTTTGTTATTTCTGAAAGCTTTTATTCAAAATTCTCTTCCCTGTTTGTAAAATGTATTCATAATGTTGACATCGAGATGGATCATCAAATATTATTTTTAAGTAAGGGGAGAATCACGAATATTTTTTGATGGTAATCGTAAATTTCGGTTTGAAGTTGTTTTAAGCTTTTTGGATAGTTGTTGATACCGACTGAATTAAATCTCTTAATCTCCCGTCGTTTTTTGGATTAAATTAAGTCATAAAACTATTCTGACATCCGAGATAATAAATTTAACACAACATAATTTCATTGCATGAGAAAATGATGAGAAGAAAAAGCACAAATCTGATAAAGTAGAAAATAATTTTGTTATTCTTCAATTACATTCTTGCTCTCTGAAAATAAAACCTTTTTATTATTAATTTAAAAAAGGAAAATTTTGTATTTTGTGTAGAAAATCTGGAATGGATCATGACCTTACCAAATTTAATTTCCACTTACATAGAAAGTGTGATAGTTTCCTTAAACTTTGAGTTTGGAAAATTATTTATCGAAATTAAATTAATTCACTAAAGATGAAATTGACGATCAAAGAAAATTTTCTTTAAGTCTCAAATTTAGTTACAGTTTTCACTTTACGTGATGAAAGCTGATATTGAAGACTCATTTACCACATGTTTATCGAATTTCATTGGAAAGTGCTTCTTGTTCTCCTTCGTAGTACACAAAGGGATAAAAAATCAATGAGTGTTTGAAAAACAATCTTCTTCTTCATGCCACTTGATCTTTGCTTTTCAATTCTCTTTCAACCCCATTTAACTTGTTTTCAACAAGAACTGAAACAACATACATATATCGTAATCATATTAAATGTCAATCGTTAACTCTCCCTTGTTGAAATTTTAAACAAAAAAAAATTCTTGCTGCATCAATTTTCAACATCAACGAGAAGTTGTTTTCAAGTCATAAACGGAGCTTATAAGCACTCTTACAAGAGATTACTATTCGAAACCCCTTTTTTGCATGGCCTTGCAAGGCAAGAAATTCCCATTCTTTAAATTGAAAACATATTTTGCTTGAAGGCTTTATGACTAAGTTGCTCTGTCAAGTCAAGTGCTGAAAATATATTTTTTCCAACTGAATAATGTTGAACTGAACAAAACGAGCCAATCATAATTTATAGCTTCTAGACAATGATGCAGTGGATTATTTAAATTCCCAACAACTTCTTTAAATTGAACCAGAAAATTGAAAATGTAAGTTTGAAAGTTGATAATGGTTGAAGCAAGTGCTTAAGTTGATTCTAATTTACCATTATTTGTAAGACTATCTTTCGTATCATTTTATAAAAAATAAGAAATGAGAACAAGGAAATGCTTTCAAAAAAACGAAAAAAAACATCGAAGCTTTTCACTTTTCCTTATTTTCGTGTTTTCTTTTTTTTCCCTCCAAGAAGGTAAAACTTTAATTAGATATGCTTTTCTTTCTGATGAACTTTTCTGTTTCTTGGTTACAAAATTAAACTTTATCTTCAAGTTTATTGTTGTAAAAGCAGCTGTACGTTTTGCAATTTTCTTTTCATTTAAACTTTTTTAAGACTTCATTATCAAATGAACAATTCTTTACATAAAATTCTCTTTCTTTTCTTGTAAGAATCAAGCCATGAAGTTTTCGTAATAATGTTGATGTATGTAGCTTTAAAAAATCGATAATTAAAGTTTCGTTGAATAATAAATAAAGTTAAAGACAAGATTTTATTTTCCTTTACAAAATTTAATGATGTGAAAGCCTCGATTTAGTGTTGTAACTTTTAAGATGCTTATGCATCATGTGTATGTACATATCTACATATAATTAAGCATAACAGAGAGAAAGAAATTAATTTTTCTGACTGAACTCAACAAAACATTGTAATAAGATTAAATAAATGTTTACGTTTCTGTTCATCTATGTAAATAGAGAAGAGTTCACAATATTCTCATGAATGTATGTCAAAAAGTAGAGTGTGAGTGATTAGAAACATTGAAGCGAATGTTGAAGAAGCATCAACAAAGCTTTCTGACACAAAAGTGAGTTGTCATAAAACTTTTACATTTTATCATGAAAATAAAGAAAAGCGCGTGAATGTTTTTGAAGCTCAAGACGATGACAAAAATGACAAAAACCTACCTCAGGTGTTTTCTCAACAATTATAAACAAAAAAATATTTAAAATTCAGAAGTGCTGAGAGAGGTAGAAAAATAAATATTTTATGTAGCTTTCACGTAAATTCAGAGTAAGTGAATAAAATTGTTATCGTCAAGATATAAACCGTCAGGCAAGATAAAAAGAAATGCAACAAGAAATATAAAACAACAACTCAATTGAGATAAATGCTTAAGTTTATCCCACGGGAAAGTTCGAAATGAAAATTGAAATCTCTGCTCATGTTCTATCATTTATCTTTCTCGCATTGTAGTGGTTAGTTGGTTGCATTCCACACTCCAAACATTTATGTTGAGAAAGCTTTTATGGCTTTCTTCTTCTCGCTATTTTTTCTTTTTCTCGAATTTCAGCTTCATAAATCAAAAAGTCAGAAAGCAGAATGTCTCACATAACTGATAAATAATTTACTCTAAAGAATAATTATGTTCGAGTAGCTAAAAGATTTGTGATTTGCGAGAATGTTTTCTATGACAAAATAACTCCGTTAAGTACTTAAATCATAGCAATTCTTTTTGGCAAACCCCTGTTGGGCGACAATGGAGGCTTTTGTGTCTTTTTGCGAAAAGAAATGAAAAATAAAATCAATAGCGACTGTTATGATGTTGAATTGAAGCAACTAGAATTACGATATTGTGTATTAAAGCAGATAAATCGTTGCGAATCTCGAACAAAAAGAAATCCATTATTATTTAATGGTAGTTAATCTATTGACATGACACTTCCTTCTTTCAGGCCGAAGCTGTTTCCCTTTCTATTTATTATCATGGAAAGTGTTCAGGGATGAAATCGACATATTTCTCCTATTAGAATTCGGACAAGTATTCAGGATTTATTTGAAACTCTGACACTCGATATTCCTATCAACACCATACCTAACGAACAAAGATTGAATCAGAATAATTGCGGCAAAATACAATAAATTATTCTTCTTCTTCCTCTCTATACTCTACATTGTTGCTAATACTTATGAGAACGAGATGCTGTTTGTCTCACATCTCGAATTGAAAGCTACTAACGATCATGATGTGGAAAATATTAAAGTCATATATCAGAGTCAACAGCATCCCAGACGCAATGTTTGAAATATGGTCGAGCGAATTGACTTTCATATGCATGCGATATTGCGTAGCGTAGTAAAAATGAGCTATTTGCCTCATTGATACAAGTAATTTATTGTTTTTTTTTTTCACTCCAATGTCTCTGATAAAGACATCAAGATGAGCACGCATATGCAATTAAATTAATGACGAGAAATAAAAGTCAATTATGATAATTGATTTTATTCTTCATCTTTCTCTCATCTTTTTTATTTTCAGATTGTGAGTTGGAAGAGCTGGAGGCACCCCAAAGGTACCGACCGGATTCCTTAGCGCAAATATGTAAGACAACCAAGTTCAGTGAGTCTGAAATCAAAAGAATGTACCGTGGGTTTAAAGCCCACTGCCCCAATGGAATGGTGAAAGAAGATACTTTCAAAGTTATTTATGCGCAATTTTTTCCTCAGGGAGGTTCGTATTGATCAATTTTCTTATTATCTTTCATTTGGTCTTGTTTTGATGTTGATTTGATTTATTCTTAATTCCAATCATGTTCTCTTAACATAATTAAAGAACAAAGTAGCTAATGTAATAATTTCCTTTCTGTGATTCTTCAAAGATTAATCGAATTAAGCCATATGTGTGTGCATGTGGTTCGAGCGAAGCCAAATCTAAGTAGTGAAATGATTCGTTAGCAGTGCGAAATTACGCTCATTAAATTAATATCCCGGGAAGTTGTTTCAGATGCAAAAAAGAAAATTTTTATTTTCGTATGAAAGAGAAACATGCAAAGATATCAAGGTCAGAAGACTCTCCTTAGTGAGAGAATTAAGGAAAAATACTAAACATCCATAAGTACTAAACTCATTTGAAACTTTTCCCATCAAATCGAAATAAATTATTAGCATGAACTTTTGTCTTACAAATTCTTTCAAGATGAAAAGTTGAATTAGGGTAGCCAGATTTCAAAAGCCCTGTGAAAGCTTGTTAATTTTGTCAAATGTCGCTACCTTTTTCATTTGTTTTCAGTGAAAATATGAAGTTATTAAAATGATTACTTACCGGCCACAAATCGTAAGACTCTTCACAGACTTACTGGTTGAATTTTTTATGTTGGCAACCGAAACTCATGCTTAATATTCTCAAATGGTAACACAACACAAAAAGCTTTACCAGCATGGAAACTTTTATAAATCCAAATTAAATATTTGCACAAAGAATGTCTTTAAGCTTCTCATGATGCTACAAAGTCTAGATGTCATGCTCAATTAATTGTGCGTGCGCCAAAAAAAAAACATGAGAATGGAAAAGAAAATAAATAACAGCAGATTTTTTTGTGTTGGCCTGCCGGATTAAATATTTAAGCAAATTCTTTTCCTCCTTGTTTGTGAAAAGAAAAATGACGAGATAGACAAGAAGAAAGCTTGAATAATTGCATAGAATGAAACCGCGTAGATTTAACGAGAAGAAGAACAAATTTCATGTTGGCCGTTATCAATTATGTGAAGCTAATATAACAGCAACCTCAGGTCGCCAAACCTACGGCCTTTCATGACTTTAACCGAAAGGACAGCAAAGACATAAAAAATAATTAAATTCGCTACTGTCGCGTGCAGCTCACATTCCTTTGTTCACAAGCTTCTCTATTCACAAGAGTGTTACGCGACTTTTATGAACAAAATGTACAGCGACTACGATTACAACACGAATAAATGAAATAAAATCAAAAGTCCAAACTCAAGTCATAGAATAAAAAAAATTAAAACAAATGAAAGAGAGCGAAAATAATGTAATTAGGCAAATAATTTATTATTTTACTTTCCTATTAAAAACGCGTCCATTTCAAGACTTTTAAGTGCGTAAGAAGCCAGAAGAAAAAAAAGAGAGAAAATAAATAGAAGAAGCACGCAATTATAAAGGAAATTTATGCATTATTAAATAAAAAGCTAAATAGATAATAATATCAGAAAGGAAATTTCCTTTTGTCGACTTGCTTATGAATATTTTACTTTGAAGATGAAACTAAATAAGGATAATTTTAAGTTCATTTAAATATCTCAAGTTTATATTATTAAACAATCATAAGATTTTATCTTGTTGGGTCTGAAAAAGCGTACGCGAGTTTTATATTTGAGCAGTCAGCATCAACAACAATGCAACAACAGTTTTATTGGAACATAAAATTTAATTTCAATCATTTCATTTTCCTTTCTTTGCAGCGAATACCGGTTTATATGCTCATTACGTATTTAATACACTCGATAAAGATCATACAGGAACATTAAGTTTTGAGGTAAGTTGGCTTTTTTATGTACACGAAAATATTCTCGTTGATGGAAGTTTGTAATTTGCTTCTGGTTCTTTTGAGTGGTTTTTGGAGAGTCGTTTCATGATGACTTACGAGTGAGCTTCGCTGAGATGGAAAATTATTAAAGTTATTCTCTTCAGGATATGAAGTTAGAAAGACAAAAGCTTTTGAATGAATTCCGATTCGATTTCCGATTTCATTTCTGGCTAACTCCTTCATGAATCAAAATTTTCTTTTTCTTCTTTCTCGGGTTTTTCCTGATTTAACTACAAGATTGTGTTCTGTGGTGTCGACCTCACAATTGACCTTTTCCGAGACTGAGACCTTTTCAATCTTATTAGACAAGCTTTTTAAAAGTTATTTGAAAAGTTTTGAATTCCTAGCAAATTTTCTTGTCACTTTCTTTTTGCTCAAGAGCGCATGATTGAAAGTTTTGTATTCTAGAAGCTTTTCATTCACGAGCGGTTAGAATAAAATTTTATTTCAAATTGGGTGAGTGATAACCGGAAAATGGCTTCAACTTAAGAGACAAAAATTCAATTGTCTTCGTTTTCTACGTTTTTCCGTTTCATTCTTCTTTGCGCACCTGATAGACCTTTGAAGTCTTCAGTCTACCTATTTCTACAAATGAATGAAATAACCCAAATCTTTTTGATTATCCGAACGTGTGCACATTGAATTGAAATGAGAAAAAAAAAATTAAAAGAACATTCGAGTGAATGAAAACGAAATGAAAAAGTTAAACCATCCGCGAGAATGAAAAACGGTTTGGATTTTGTGAGATAAATGATTAAATTTCTACGATGCTGAATTCTAGAAATGTTCATATTTACATAATATTTGAAAGTATTCAAACTTTCATATCGTCACGTTCTAAATTGTCGATGAAAACCAAAAGTTTATTAATCGAAGAAAAGCTTTTTAAGTACCTGAAAGTTTCTGAAGCAAATGCCTTATAAATATTATAATTGAAAGTCACATATTTAACAATAATGAATGAGTTGAACTGCAATGCAGACAGCTGCAGTTAAGTATATCTAACAATAAATTTCTTGACTTTAACAAAAGCAATTAAATCTCAATGGCTTTTATGCTGTTTAATCTGCCTAACCTGCTGAGAGGTTGAAAAAATTTCGGTTGAAAACGACCCTGAAGTTGAGTTAAGTGTTTGAGGTTGAATAATGGTATTTTCGTAAGGAAGATTATTTAAAGATATATTTTCCGGATACAGAGAGCCGTGTCGATGTAGAAAATATACATTTGGAGTGTAGGAAGTGGAAAAACTTGAGAGTGTCTCTCTTGAGGCAAAAAGTTTAACACAAATTTTCCATTTTTGATGGAAGCTTGTAATGTTTACTTTGTGCCTTTTCATGGACTTACATGACATTTTTAAAGCCACAATATTGTCACGATTGACTCATCAAAAGAGGATGAAACGCCCAAGGTGCTTTTCTTGCGTTAATAATTTTGATGTTTCAAGTTAATTATTGAGTTAATGAATTGAAACACGTGCAAGATATTCAAGCTCCAGCCAGTTACATATAGATAAGTACTTGAAGATTTCTACTTCAATAATCAATACCATTGGCAGCTAAGCGGTAAAATCTCATTCTAGTCATCATTTTGATGTGCAATCAAACTTTGTATCGAGCTGAAATCCATCATGATTCAGAATGATTGAGTAGATTTTGCTACAAAGTTTATTTTCTCTTACATCGTGTGGAAAAGAGAAGTTTTTTAATAGTTTATTCATGTGAATTCAGCCGATTCATTCATTAATTTTCCATAGTTATCATAATGGTACGCTTTTAGATCAAAACTCATCTATAAATAAAAAAAAAAAATTGTCGTGTTCGCGTCAGCAGTTTTGGTTATCGTAGCTGTTCTGACCGAACATGAGATGGTGCACTCTTCTGCATTTTAC